CACCGACCGAAACGGACTGAAGGTCAGAGATATTGTTTACTACAACTTACAAATTGTTGTTAACTTTTAGAATTCGTCTTATCCTTTTCCAACTTTTTAATGAGCGTCATCGATGTTATCTCAACGGAAAGTGCCCAAATTGTAACAGATAGGTAATCGAATAGTGCAATCGTAAAAACGAATCGTTTTGCTGATACAATTGTGCTCTGGAGCTTTTTAATTTGATAATTTTTTAATTATTAATTTTACTTCATTCGCAATCACGTAATCCGTAGAATTCTGGTCAGCGCAATCGGATATTCAAATAATTTAAGAACTCGATGGTCTTTGTTTACATCAATAATTTGCCTAACAGAAATGGTGCTACATAACATTTTTGAAAAACCGTTACAAATTTCTGCATCGGATATCACTAGTTGATTTTATAGGCACGAAGAGAAGAAGTATATTTTTTTTTTCGATTTAAAATTTGTTTTGAACGATTTCCGTAGATCTGAATGACCCTAATGCGTATTTGCTAGATAATTATTTTAAGATGATACATGATCATTTTTTAGAACTGTTTTTACGTCTTTAGTGAGTTGATTGACATTTTTTTCATTTGCTGGATTTTTATGTGTGTACCAGCTTCGTTTAGCGTTATGTTAATAAAACGTTACACCTATAATGTTTACCGGGGAATACATAATACAATAAGTTAATTGGATACTATAAGTTAATAAATAAGGATGAATTATTAAAAAAAAATATAGCAGTTTGAACAATTTAAAAAAAAGGTTTTTGTACCTTGTACAACGAGCTGTATGTTTAAAATAAAAGAAAACTGTGATGAGATCATCTTCGAAATATTGTTCCCTAAAAATCTCATTATCGATATTTTTTGCTGTAAAACGTCGGACTCGAAATTATGTGCATTATTGTACTAGACCAATACTTTATACACTACTATGTGGTGTGGAATTATAAAAGGTTTGCGCAGTGGCGTAGCCAGGATTTTTAAATGGGGGGGGGGGGCTAACCACTTTTTTTGGATAAGTAAGATAAGAGAGGATATGAGAATTCACCCTTAACCCCCCACCATCTACCACCAAGTTTCTAAACGTAATTCAAGCATTTTAGTATGGTTTTAAAAATATTTGTTAATATATAATTTATAATAATAATAATAATAATTTTGGTTTCAGTGTTCAGTCACTTGCTCCACTCTGACAGCTGCATTCTCTTAGGCAAATTTCTGGCAAATTCAGTTATTATTTTACTTTCATCGAATTGCTCTTTTTTATTTATATTAGCCATAGCTAACCCATTCAGTCTGTTTTCCGACATGGTGCTTCTTAAAAAAATTTTTAAGCGATTAAGTGCTGAAAACGTTCTTTCCGGAGTGAAAAAAGTAACTGGTAACATAGCGAATAATTGTAAAAGTATTTTAATGTTAGGTCGAAGATTGGTGCATTCACAGAGAGAGTGAATCAAGAGCAGAATTCGGTTTTGGAATAGTATTTTGACTCCATTGTTGCCTCCATATGAACAGATCAGCTCTGATTGTAGATGAGGTATCATCATGGAGATCTTGGACATATATTTTAGCAGCTTTTATAATATTTTTATCGTCATACATATTTAAATTGGCTGGAATAAGTCCTTCAAGTGGCATAACATCAATATGCCTTTGATTAAAACGAGCATTGATTCTATTAAATATTCAAGATACATTATACATATAAACACGGCCCATGGGGGAGGCTATAGCCCCCTTATCCCCCCCTTGGCTACACCACTGGTTTTGCGTGGATTCTGCGATGAATGCAGTTGGATGTTCGGCCGTCAGTTCTGCACCTTGAATAAAATATTTATATAGTTTGGTTTTATTTGATTCGTATTTGTTTGATTAGGTAATAAAATCCAGTTAGATTTCCATTATCAATTGGTGAATCGGTCGGAATGATAAAATTTCGATGACAAATTAATTGAAATGGGATTGATTTTATCAATGAAATATCAAGAACGTCCGGGTTGTCTATTTGTCGATAAACACATATGGACGTGACCGGACTAAAATTTTTATTAATAAAAACTGATCCGGGCATTCAGACACTGCGGTCCGATTACAGGAATTTGTTGTCGATTTGACTTTGGTACAAACAAGTTATAACTATAGTGTAGCTGCACACATTTTATCACATAATTGTGTGATTCGATGTTCGCGATATGTTTCGTAACCGAACGATTCAATTTTAATGGGTTTCGGTTGCGACCTGTTGCGATGGCTACTAATAACCAACTGATATCGTAAGACCATATGTTTAATAGTTAATAATCAGAGAAGTATTTATGGGAGGGCTGAGGATCCCCATGAAATGAAAAACACCAATGTAAAAAATTGTTATTTTTGTCTTAAAGCTGAGGGTTATTCCGAAAATTTGTCGCGACAATGAGAATGTTGCTTATGCAATAATTTAAAGTTTTATATTAATAAAACATGTTTGTTCTTTTAAGAAAATATGTGGTGAATTTTGAATGAGTAATAAAAAACTTGTTTATTAAAATGTAGTTTTATATTTTTTTGAAATTATAAATCATTAAAAAAGTTGAGTTTCTTATTTCTCTGATGGTGTAAAGACAATCGGGAAGTCTTATAGTGTTCAAGTAATTTTTGTCGTAATAGTGTGCTTTCTCCTTCCCTTCCCCAAAAATCAAATACATGATCGGTCCCCTGTATAATAATTAAAACCTATATACGCCACTGTTATTAATCGTACAATATACATATATATTATATTCGTTTCAAAAATCTGTCCTGCTGAAAGAATTATACATACAATAATTTACATTTGTGTATAATATACATATATGTATGCACGTTATTGTACACATTGTATATGTTTATAAATTGTCTTAATCGATCAATCAACAAGTTCGTTTAATGTAATTATATTTTAAGTAATAACTAATAATAACCAATCAACTAACGAGCAACAGCGATTCTTAGAGTTTAATTACGAAATCGAATTACAAAGTTTCAGCTAAACTCGCGGAACAATGCACCGTTATTTATTTATTTATTTATTTTTTTATATGCTTCTGCCTTCTACTAACTATCTGAACAAATTAAACGTATTCGTTGCTGTTTACCTATACAGTATACGCATTAGCAAAGACGTCTTGAACCAATATTGCTTCATGCTAAATTCATTATGGTATTTAAACAACGCATAAGTATCGCTATTGTATATGTATACATAGTACGAGTACGTCAATCGTGAATACTTTGCCGTACAAACAGTACACAATTAAAACGTACATCGACTGGTAAAAGGCAACATGGGATAAACGACAATTTTACTACTTTTAAGACGTGCAAAAATAAAATTTCATAATATTCGAGCCGCGATGAACGAATGAATTGCGTTTAGTAAAAAAAAATTAAAACCTAGTTTTTAAATATTAAATCAATCATTCAATCAGATTTTAACTTCTATGAACTTTTTGAAATCTTCGTTCGTGGTGATTATTGTGCTATCATATTTATCGTATAAGAAAGTATCAATCTTTGATCCATTTAAACTCACTATTAATAATGCCAAAGGTGTGAGTTCATCGATTTCTTTTTCCGATTTCACATTTGGGATACTAAACTAGGCAGCTGTAGCTGAAAATACTGACAAGGAGACAATCATTATTTTTTATTTATTTTTTTTTTTTTACATTATCATTAGGTTAAACAAAACTCACGATAATTGCCGCTAGTGTTCGAATCGATCGGTTGTTAAACCGCTATATTTCGAAACAAAAACGATACCCGTGGATTCCACGTATATTATATGACTATTTATCTTATTTGCAGATGGACTGATTTGTTGAGCACAAAAGACCCATTTCAATTCCAATACAAACCGATCAATCAGTTTATGTGATAAGGACTGTGAAAACGCATTTGCATCCTTATCGCGTGTCTTTGGAAATAAACGAACTCTCCAGTTTTCAACAATTTTTCCTTATATCCTATCTACATATCGCTTTAGTTCACATAAACGTAACAAATGTTAAAGCGAAATGCAATGATTCAAAAAATAAGAAAGCCATTCAAAAGTATACAACGACGACGGGTTTAAATGTGCTTCCGACATTTTTATTTATATAATTTGTAATAACCTGTAGGTATTATAACCATATTGTTCAAGTATATTAGTTTTAAGATATTTGAAAATTTTAATGCAGCCATAATTTACAGTACCTAGAAATAATACTAATACCACAAAACGATATAAAAAGTGCATTCTAGGTTGTTTTGTGATGTTGAGTAGCATTACGATTTCCTTAGTTTTAATATTTTTAAATCAGCTTATTACTAAACACTTTTTTCACTGTTCCATGTACGAATATCTTATATTTTTTTTCCAGTTGACCTCTGTAGTGCACTAAAAATTCAGTTTTCAACCCATATCCGTTGACCATTTGTGTTCTTTTGACATTAGATACAGGGGGTGTACAAAAAAATATCAACACCATTCAATATAGTTACATATTTTTGCATGATGTTTGTCAACATATCACTTAAGCAATTGACGGATATTTTGATAGAAGAATTGGACAAAATTCCGTTGGAAACTATTCAGGTTCTTTACGAATATATTCCGCGAAGGATTAAAACTGTTGGCGAAATGTTGGCCTAACACCTTATTAATAAACAAATATGTAAATATAAATAAATACATTGAGTGTGCGCCAGGTGCTCATATTATTTTGTCCACCCCCTGTATATGACCATGATTCTGATTTTTTGTAACTCAACGATACACAAATAAGTTTGTGTTCATAATAATCGTTATTATTATTATGGTTAAAATATAACTCGTTCAGTCACAAGATGCTTTGGTTTCGTATCTCTCGTTGTCCACGACAGTCTAGTTGCTTGAAAACCGGCACGAATAACAATAGGTCGGAGAACAAACCGAGATTTGTCACGTGTTAAAAATGTGGAAAAAAGAAAACCGTGCGAATGTTTTAAAGACTGCGATCATTTATTCAATATCCACGTATCCTTCTTGAACCTTCCCAGAAAAATTAAAGCCAATACCATCAGGACGACGTGCACGCAAAGCGTTGAAAAGTACGTTAAAACGAGTGGATGGTTCCATTCCCATCCTCTTAACGTTACACTGGTCATCATCTTGCCTGCCACGGTCATCGGCAGGAACTGAGTCACTGCTTTTAGGCATGGTGCCTGCGCTTCCAATGGCCATATTCCACCTGAGCGCACAAACGGTGCATTACTATAAGTGCTCGGGTGATATTCGAAACAATTTTCGTCTGATATAGTAACGTGTAATGGTGACGTTTACGTTCTTACCTGACACTAACATCTGGGCTATGGCCAACCCGTTCATAATGTGAACGCCACCTGATTTCGTCGGTGTTATTCCGGCAGCGATCAATCCTGCAACCGAAATGCAAAAAAAAAAAAAAAAAAAAACGTTTACGATTTCTTATTTTTCCTGTGAGAAAAAAATCAATATTTAAGATATATACTTTGAAAATGTATTGAATAATTTCCAGATCATATGTAATGGTAACTAAAGTTTTTTTACTGTTAATATTGCACGGTATTCGCTATATATCTATCGGTAAATATGATCAGAATAAATCGTTTGGCTCTATCAATTTTCGTGTTATAAAATCATCAAAAGATTAATTCGTCAGTTTGTAAATATAATAATAGGGGTAAATCGAATGATGATTTCAAAATGTTACTGAATGATTGACAGACTTTGACATGATTATTAATCGTTGTAAATATTTTTTAGTAAATACGATATTCATTGTATGAGTTATGTAGTGACTTACAGTTTTTGTAATTTTGGAAAAATTCGAAAACATATTACATCATAATAAGTCCAGATTTATATTTATTATTAATAATTTAATTTGTGATTATATCTCTTTTGATCCATAAACATTGTATTGTGTTACTTATTACTTTCTGTGTATAGATATTACGATACGTTATTACGTTCTCTTCGCATATGTTATTTTCCACGAGAAATTCAAAATGTCAACAGCGAGTTCAGTTTGTAATTTCCCCACAGTCACTTTGCATATTTGTTCCATTGACTGCGTACAATGCGTCTTAGGGGAACTAATAATGTAATATACGTACCGAAGAAGAAACCTTGCCATCCCGCAATTATCATCGTTATTGCACACATAAATAGGCCACTGGTTATTTGTATCGGATTCGAGAAAACCATGTACGTAATGATTAAAGGAACTATAGATTGAATCAAAATCAATATATTGGCGAGACAAAACATAGATGTCAGCAATTCTATCACGGTGACGCCTGAAACGACAATAACAGTATAGTGACGATTAGTATACAATATAAGGACTGTATTCAAATACCTGCCAACATAGATCGGCTAAATACACCATCCATTTTTTCCGAAAGCATCATTATTACAGAGAATATGCTAGAATAGTAAAATGATCCCCTAAAAAAAAAAAAAAAAAATAAATAACAACCAATAATTTTACTGTAATCATAATACAAACTATTATTTTTTTATTATTTTTATGTAACATCAAAAATTAAGTGATTTAGAACATTTCAATATGTATGTTACGCTGAATTCATGAAGTCATTATGATAAAATTTATACTCAGTGCTAATTTAAAGCATGGGCCTCAAAGGACCCAGGCAGCGGGCTTTAGGATTAGAAGGGCCTCAACTACATTGTAATTACAAAATATAATAATTTTACATTTTTATTTTATTTTTTTAAAAAATATAATATTTTTAATAGATAATAATAATAATTGATATGTTGACAAAATATATGTTTCAAAATGTATGTATTTAAAGGCCCCCAATGTATATTAGGTCCTGGGGCTTCGCATACCCTAAAAATAGCTCTGGTTATACTAAATAATATTTTGTTAATTATGTTAATTCGTTTGAACATAAATTATTTAATTAATTTAAAGCGTTGCTGATTTCATGAATATAGCATGACGTGCATATTTTATTGAATAAATTCATACACGTAATAATAATAATTAAAACTTAAACGCGATAAATTTAATTTTAAATTATAATCCATTATTTCACAAAATTATGTCCACTAATAAGTATTATATAATTCTATAAAATATTCAGTTTCATTAAATTATTTTGAATTATATAATGAATAATCAAAATTACTCTCGACTTGCACTTATTATATAATCCCACACAGCGTAGATATATTTATTCAATATTTAAAAAAAAAATTTAAAAATTGATAAATGCTCTATATCTATTAGTTATACTAATATTTAATTCAATCTATTAGTTATACATTGAATTAAATATTAGACATTTATAAAATTTTAAAATATTTGTTTTCCAATGTTAATACATTTGTATTACATGTTTCAGGTTCAACATGAAAAATCAAATTCACGATAGTATTGGTTCAATATTTTATTAAGTTTTTATTTTAAATATTGAAATTCCAATCATATTTAAATAATATTTCAATCGTTAAGATAAAAAAATGTTGTGGTAGTAATTACTATAGTTCATATGAACATATAAACGATAGTGAAAATGTTCAATAACAATTTGATATACAAACTTACAAATTTGAAATGACAAAAAAAAAGTTTGAGTAATAAATATATCTATAATAATTACATTACTAGAAAAAATCCAACCATGTAATGCGTATTGATCTTCACGTCCTTTCCAAGTAAGGTAATAAAGTTCTGAAAATGTATCAAAATTAAATTGCGTTTGATTATACATTTATCGTAAATAAAATCATTTTTTTTTTTTTGCAAAACAATATATTGTTTGATGTAAAATGAATAAATAACAATGCAATTTTAAAAAAAATAGTTTAATTTTGGTTACAATTAAGTTGTAATTACTTTTATAATTTTTATAAATCATGTACCATATCATATCTACGCATCGTGTGATTTAATTTAGTTAGTCCAGATGAGTGCTCATGAATATCTTTCCATCACAAATATTCACCCATCCTGTACCGATATAATCTAGTAGCCCCCCCCCAAAACGAATGTAGTAAATGTGGTTAGAGATCTTAGTTGGTCTTACTCTATAGTCAAACTTGAACTTTAAACGTCCAACTAAAACTATTCGCGTACAGACTTTCAGAAACTTAAGCTTTATAATACGTAAGTGTGCCGATGTGAGTTACACGATTCCTCTACTTTTTTTGATACGTACTATACCTTGAAGTTTTGTTCGTTGGTTAGGAACTACCGACAAATTTGATAAAACTCAACGGATATTTATTATAATAATTTCCTTTAAATTAATCTCGTGTGAGCTACTCATTGCTAATGTCAACAATGAATGAATCATTTTTGTATACCGTTATTACGTTACGTTATACCTACTGTATTCTGAATTCGTCTGCGAGGACAGACGTTGCTATATATAAATTAAATATTGATATTATTATATTATATTGATCTTACTATTGGTGTACTGATTGCTTTTGGATTCATAGAACATCCATTTGAAATATTTTCTTTTAGCTCATTCATCGAATTGATTATAGCCGTCTGAATTTGATTGCTTTCTAAAAAAATCTAAAGTTCAAAATTATTTTATTACTGTTAATATTATAAAATTTTTATTGGAACACAAATACGAGTTATTCATAAATTATTATAAACTGATATTATAATTGTTGTTCAAATATACGTATGCTTGCGCCTGGTAGTTTTCAAAGTCATCAATGAATTGTACTAAATCATTCGTATAGTTGTTCGGGAAATATATAAATGCAACAATGGTTTTGTCCTTCATGATCTTTTCGGCTGCCTTTTGGTCTTTCACTTGAACCTAAAAGAGAAGAAATGAGTTACTTCAAAAATAACATCGTTCTCTGTTTCTTCTCCATTTTATTGTATTTAGTGAATTTTAATATCAATCAAAAGTGAAATTTTAATATTGTAAGCTCATCGACCAAATTACTTATGTTTGTAATGGGTATTTTTTTTAAATATTTTTAGGAAATTTTTTAGAGTTTTTGGTTCATAAATGCATTTTTTGATTTTTTTTTTTTTTTTTTATAGGGCATTTCTAATGGAGCCCTAGTTATAAGTGTTCATCCTATTGGTGTGTGAGCTTTGCGGTCCTTGCACCATACCGATAGGACCATACAGACCTCCCACCCATTAATTAAGCTCTATTCGTTCCGTGTCGTAATCGCAACCGCCGTCAGAGCGGCCACCGTCCATCTTTGTTGGATTTTAGGTCACCTACCTCTTACAGATAGAAGGCGTACCGAAGTGGTAAATTTTTGGCTCAATTATTATTATTATCGTCACTGGTTCCTCGTCCCTCGCCATCGCATCGAAATACACTATGTTATCGCAATTTACTCCGACAATAATCGTCGAACGTGCATATAAGCGGGTACTACATTAAAACCATGTAACTAGTCCAGTCCGGTCGACGAAGGAAATTGTTGAAATTGTAACGAAAATTATTATTTTTGATGAAAAAGAACACATAAGGATTCAAATGGGACATGAAAAAATGTTATTAAGGCTAATAGGTCTTTAGACGACTCGGTCGATTCTTTTTTCGTTTAATCTATTCTCGCACCTTTTACTCTTTTTTCGTTCGTACGTATCAGTTATTTTTCAGCACCCACTTGTTTGACTTTGTGTTGCAAGGACGCCAGCAGTAAATTGATCGGGTTCGTTTAAGAAAAAGAAAAAAAAAGTAATGAAAGTTAATCGAATGGCAAAGATCAAACGTCGATCAATTAAACCGAAAACGCGGGATGATATCCGAGCCGACGCCGTCTTCACTTACCAGAGCAAATCCATGGGATTCGAGGTTTCTCATGACATCGCAACTCATTGTTTGATTGGAATTCTTGTCATAAATGCAACTACCAACGCTGGAATAATTTTGGCAACTGATCTCATCATTTTTATACGCTATTTTCAGATTTCTAATGTTGTTCCCAAAACCAACGCTAACGATGTACGCTTGTAGTATGGGAAGGAAGAACGCAAAAAACAATAACCTAAAACACAGTCATTTGAAATATCACGAATCGAGCTTTTCAAACAATTTTATAACTTAATTTACCAATTATCTCGCAAAAGTACTCTAATATTTTTCCTCATCAGGGCTTTAACTCTATGACGATTGATTTTTTTTCCTATTTGCATTAGGTTTTTCGATCGAGCCGTTGAATCCATCATTCCATCAGTGTTAATCACAGCCTAACACAAAAAACAACATTGTTAAACGTGTACTTAAACGGTAACTTAAGTGTTATATTTTAAAACGTAATATGATAATTAAAATTATGCATTGCATATATATCTTTATGGCACAACTTTTTAACAACGGACAATGTTGCTATACACTTTAGCAACATTTTATTTTTAATCTTGAACAGTAAAGACAATTATTGAAAACTAGGTGAAAAAACATCATTTAAAACTGTATCATCAGAAGTAGATAAGAGACATGGAAATAAATCAAAATATTTAATGTTAATTGGAATTCGATGGAAAATCAAAGATGCTGTATATGAGCTTAAGGTATTATCACACATGAAAAAATTAATTCATTAAAACTTCAATAACAACTGATTTATGTAAAAATTACTTACATAGTATTAATTATAATTAAATGTTTAATACGAGACAAATATACCATCAAAAAAAAAAAAAAAAAAAAATTGGAATAGGCAACTAAACAAACATTCATCCCAGCTAAAACACAGTATTTATTATTAATAGGGAACCGATTTTTAAGCATATGGAAATATGCTTCTAAATGCACATAACTATGCATTTCAATTTGAATATAATTAAATAAAAATTAGTTATATTAGGTAGTAGCTGGCCTTACCTGTAAGATATTCTACTATTTTAAGTTACAGTAGTTATTATTTCGATGCAAAAAGAGATTAGGTTGACAAAATAACACAATATTTTAATAATGTTTATTTTTATTAATTTATTGTTCAAGCTACATTAATTTAGGTGCACCTCAGTTGGTAATTATTAAAATCAATATTTTAAGCAAAATTGAATATTTTCTATTTTACCAAAACGTGATAAAATATAAAATGTAAAAAATACATTTGGCCAGAGCTGTTTCGGCATTTTAAAAATGCAGTTTTAAATTATCCTTTCTCATTATACCTATACATACTAACAAGCGCATTAACCCAACATTTGAGATAAATTGACATGATAAGATTAATTTTATTTAGTATTATGAAAATATACGTTTAAAAATGTAATTTTTTTTTTTTTATATTTTCTCGATATTTTGTCGCCTACATCAGTTAATAATCTTAACTCTTATTCAATAATATTATCAATCTGATTCAATCTACAAAAAAAAAAAAAAAAAAATGAAGAAAATGAAAATAAAAATATTGAATTTTTTCAATATTTTGAATTTATGGAATTCATCGAAGAAAATGAAAATAAAAATATTTAATTGGTCAACGAATTCAAATTTATCAATTTAACTATTGTATTAGATGGTCATTAGAACATAAATGTGTGATATTAATAAGATAAGCATTTTTCTACCTTAAATGTATATTGATTACGTGAATCAATTAAAAAAAAATTGAAAATATACAAACTATGTAAAATAAAATCGGCACTGTTTAAATAAATATGTACATTTCCAAGCAGATTTCAAATACCAAATCTTTATAAATATATACGTTTATATAGAAATTCATTCTTTAAAAAATTGTGCTATGTAAGACAGTTGGCTATTATTATAATAACAAATTTTGCTCTTCACTGTATACTTTAATAGACGAATTTTAAATTCTGTCGAACTTGAATACCTGTTGTTTTTCTTGATTATAACATACTGATAAAAAAGCATTTTCCAATGAGTCGGAATTAAATTTTGAGATAATATCTCGAGGTGACCCTTCTTCTGATATCACTCCGTTACGCATAAAGCCGATCTATAGTAGTTGTTATACATATAAAAAAAAAAAAAAAAAGTTAGTTGCGTAAAACCATTTTGAACAAAACTTATATATAACTTATACTTGTGTATAAGTTATATGAATTATTATAAACTATAATATAGTGTTACTAATTTTCAACAACACACGAGACCTCGCAGGAAAGTTTCAATTATTACTAATTATATTTAGTTAACTTCAATGATGATCTTTATTTAAAATCTTTAATATTAAAACTATTCTCTCTTAATGTGAAAATTTAAAAAAAAAAAAATGTTATAACAATTGTTTATAATATCTTATAAGTTGTAAGTAAAAAACTCGAAACCCTATTTTGTGTACCGTATGTAAATCAAATTCGAACTTCATATAGTCAACGGAATTTTTTATAAACATATTAGCATATAATTGTCATTGATTTTTTTTTTAATTTGGCAGCAAGGGCCATTAAATACCGCTTTTTAATTATTATTTACAATTATTAAAGTATTTACATCATGTTATATTAAATTTACATATTATTTTTGTATTTATCTTTTTATTTTAATTTTTTTCAATTTACTATTTATTATTTTATTAAGAATTCAAAACTTATCCACAATAGTCACTCATAAGCCTACGAGTACATTAAAGTTGGTTAATCCAAGAATATAATTTCACTTACTCCAAGAGGAGATTTTAAAAAGTGTTTTTAATTTAGTTTTACCATATTTACATTATTTTATATCTACAATATTTATAAAAAAAAATCCGTTACATTTTACACACTGGATACAATTTATAAGTTTTCTTGTCTAATATATGATATGGATAGATAAATACTTGCGCAACATCAGGTATTGCGGATGAATATTTATATCCAAATACACAAAAATAGTATTTATAGTTTGATATAAAATATTACTTTAAAAAAAACTTACGCAATCGGCTTGATTTGCTTCTTCGATGTAATGAGTAGTTATTATAATCGTTTTTTTATCATTTTTAGCCATTCTTATAAATTGAGACCAAATTCTAAATAAATGATATATTCAATTGTTAAAATTTAATATTTTTTTACTTTTAAATATACTATTTACTCGTATCTTAGGACAGAATCAATTCCGACTGTAGGCTCATCCAGTATAATGATTTCAGGGTCATGTAATAAGGTGATGGCAAGAGATACTCTTTTGCTCTCGCCACCACTATAAAAAAAAATTTTAAAAAAACTACAACAATACATTTATGTAATTTTGTGTTGAAAAAAAAAAATAAAAATAAACTGAAAATAATTATACTAAAAATAAATTAAGCATTAATCATGATTAATGCTATATTTATTTTTACTATGCATAGTCAGTACATTATTAAAACGATTTTTAGAATATCTTAAAATCTCAGAAGAGATCTCATGATGGTCAATGTATTAAACAGAAAATTGTCGATCGAGTTGACATAGAAGTAACATTTGATGTAAATAAAATAGCGAAAAAAAATACAATTATGATTACGCAAGCAAATAATGTATTTATATTAGTACTCGTATTATTATTATAACACAACTAAACAATTTAAAAAGAAAAAAAATTCAACAAATGTTCCGGCACATAACACAATGTCTTATTGAATTCATCTTCTGGGTAGAATGAACGAAAAAATAAACAATTTTTAGCATGGCTATTTTTTCAAACCCATAAAATAACATGATTTCTTGAATCTGATAATTATTATCAAGATTAAAATAGTTTCTAAAACTATTAAAGACTAATTAATCTAACTAAAACTATTATAACTACTAATCTAAAGTGATCGATATTATACGATATGCTTACTACCAAAACCTAATCATTTGAACTGGATATTATTAACCAGAACACACTTAAATACTATACTCGTACGTCATAAGCTATACGATGATAAAATGTTAAATACACCATACAGAACCTTAGGTATTGTATTAAACATCCTGTGATGGGTAACTGAAGAAACGCATGCAATTCATGTTTTCTATTCTCAATTTGTTTCTTGCTCATTTTATACAGTGACCCGTAGAATTCAAATGTTTCATCAACAGTCAATATTTGTTCCAGACATAAATCCTTGAAATTTTTCTACGTGTTAAAAATAATATGGTTATAATATAAAATTATTTTAAAATGTACTTGAGACATAAATCCAATACTTTTCAGCCTTTTTGCTTTCAAATGAACAGTGCCAGAGTCCAATTTCATAATTCCTAAGATGCACCGAATAAGTGTCGACTTGCCACAACCACTAGGTCCCAAAAGGCCATAGCTATAAAATTAATAATGTTAATATTTTAGTTATAATACACATGTAAATATTTTACTGTTGCGCCGACATTCGATATTAAGATATAGGTACTAATCTAAATATGATGATTATCTAACTGCAATTGTCCATTGTTTAATATTGATAAGCCCTTAAATCAATCTTAATTTCATTTTTAAAAAAATCACATTGTTTAAATGTATTTGTTAGAAGTTGGTTAATATTTAAAATTAATAAAAGTGGATTGAGTATTGATTACACCTCAAAATGTTCTAATATTTATTATAATCTAGAAAGTTACTGTGGAAATTAGTTCATTATTCTAATCATTTCAATGCCTTTAGGAATAGTTTATGTTTATCTTCATGACCTATATGCATAATTAAATAAATCACACATAAAATATATACTGAAATATAAATCGCCAGGTCAGGATAGTTGGGAAATAATTAAAATTATAGAAATTAGTTACGAATAGAAATACAATACTAAAAAATAAAATAATAAATATATATATAATATATATAAATATAATATATAATATATATAAATAATAAAATAAAGAAATACTACAATAGAAATTAATTACAATAATTATGATTTTATAATCAGTAACTATGAATATAAAAACAGTAAAAACTAATAACGTATCCTCAAATGTACCTTATTAGGTTTTTTTTGTCTTATATTATTGCTTATGTATTTTTATATAAAATTAGAGCAATAAAAAATATTTTGCGAAGTACCTTATATGAAATAACAAAAATAATAGTAAATCAGGTGCTTCATAGATAATGTTATATTATACACGTGCGACAATCATAATTATTAGTTATAAATATTGTTCATAAAAACAAATTATGTTTTACCTAATGGTTTTAATTTTTACATTTAATTATTGTTATAAATACGAGTGTGTTGTATTATACATTTTTTTCTGTCAATCAATATTTTTGAATTTTTATTTAGTTTGGTAATCATGAACTACGCATAAAAAAATGTTTTTCTATTATAACAGCAAAAATTATTATATTTTAGGTATTATAATCAGGGCTCATAACTTCTAATATTTGAATATTTTTTTTTTTTTTTAGAGGTTCTAGAGATGCCCATGTGAGCTATACATTTGTTTCAGATAACTAAGTGCCTAAATACGAAATGTTATGTTACATACTTTTGCATATTTCAAAGTATTAGTGCTGTTTTGATTTTTTAAGTCTTTTTCAGTTCCGTAGAATTATACACAACTATAGTATGTATTATGTGTACTTCTATCATATTAAATAAGTGTATGTTAAAATCATATTAATTTAGTAATAAACGAAGAAAAATAGGTATATTATTTACTATTGATTATTTAAATTATAATATGTTGATTCCTTTTTTGTTTATCATTTTGAATTTTAATACGAGGGTTTGTAAACTAATTAATAGTTAATAATAAAAAATAAAAATAAATAAAAATAGGTTCATGCACTTATTTTGTGTCTAAATCAATTAAATAAAGATTTACAAAACAACAAAATTTCATTTTTTTTAAAGTTCGGATTTTGTTATTTGCTATGAAAACTTTGGTCAACTTAAGTTGTATTAATAAATTTACTTCATTTAATTTTGTGAAAATACCAGCCAAATTATGAAGTCATAATAATCAAATTTTATCAGAAGTCTTAGTTGTAAATAAAATTGGTGTCGCTAAAACGTATAATTCGTTGCGCAATACAGGTTACCAGTATTTTTCCTCAATAACTAAGAAATTTAATAATATTTAAATTTAGATAATTAATATATGCCCACGAAACCCCTAGATTTCTTTAGCGGAGCCCTAAGGTTCCATAGAGCACAGTTTGAGATTCGCTGTTTTAGTGCATATTTAAGCCTTTATATTAATATTTTTAAGATTATATTATATATATATATATATATATATATATATATTATTTTACTTATAACAACTTTTTTTAGAGCTATAAGTTAAGGGTCCTGATTATAATTATATATAACTCTATATAGTAAAAATTATTATTGAATTTTAAATTAATAATATATCTATTAATATGTAATTATACCTTCTTAAACATAAATTAAAATTTTAATTATCTAATTTTTAAATCAGTAAAATAATATATCCATGCTTCAACTAAGCCATTATGTTTAATCAATTAAATTACAAGGCTTAAAAACGGAAGATAGGTGAACAAAACAGAATGCAAGAGTAACATATTAATAAACAAGTACATTATTATAAAGTATTAATTTTTTTTACCGGCTTGATAAATTATTTTAATAGCAACTTATTTGATGGGTTTATTTGTAATTTATAGTTACAGAAACTTGAGTGCTATTAAGTATTATGTGCTTTTAATAATAATCATAAATTAATATCCCCTGTTATTTATAAGTAGTGTTAGGAATAAATAATGCAAAATTTATCTAGATGAAGATGAAAGATAATATGTCCAAATTCATCTAGATAAAGATAAAAGACAATTTCATTTTTATCTAGATAAAAAAAAGATATTTTTAAATTTTTTTTATTTTTTAGTCAATATTTCATGATTGTATTAATATCTATAAAGACTCAATTACAATCATAATTATTAACAGGTACCTAGGTGTTTATAATTTATTTTAGTAATGTTGTGTACCATTAAGCAGTATTTATATATAATGTACAATATTTAATAATATTCAATCACTAAAATATTACACAAAAAAAAAAAAACAATGAAAATTGCTCTATACGTAAGAGGATGAATACAGAATACATAAGAAATTATTTTAAGTTAACAATATTTGTTTTCGATATAATCTTAATTTGATGATTTTCATTATTCTATAAGTAGTTACGACTTTACGGGTTCCAAGAATGAAGTATTGACTTCAAGTATTGACTATTCAGCTTATGAGTTACATGTGTATACTAAAATCAACCTACTATATTTGGAACTTCCATGGAAAAATAAGAAATTAATTTTAAAAATATCAAAAATATTTTCCCGACATGAAAATACAAACAAAATGACATATCAATAAATAAGAATTACTTATTAATAATAAACGAATTACGATTATGAATACAAAATCTATATATATAAAAGAAAGTTGGGTTAGTTACAGAATTTATAATTCAACCACGACTGGATCGATTTTTATTATCTCTGATTTGTTGGATTCGTCTCTGTACAAGAATAAAAATAACTCTAATCTTGACAAGAATATAGACAATTATCTAGATAAGTAAAAATGTTATCTTAGATAAGAAATTAGATAACTTAGTATAATTTATCTAGATAAAATAAAAGATGACAAAAAATCTATCTAGTTACATCCCAACACTGTTTACAAAGAATGGTTGGATCTTATTACAATTATATGTTATTATCTTACACTTTTCTGTAAAAGTTTGTAAAATCAATATATATTATTTAATTTGAAAACAAAACCATTGTTTCCAATTAAGAATTAATTAACTTGCATGAGTTAAACAGAAGAAAAGACGAACATTTAAGGTTGAGTGGAATATACGAATGGGTCAATGATATTGCTATAATTAATTTTATACTTGAAACCAATAATACCATTGTTCTCGAAAAAATTAATTTTGAGTGAACGAAGTCGGATTGATCAGTTATCATTTCTAAAAAAGGCTACCTATTATAGTACTCGTATAACCAAATTTCTGAATAAGGTAAATGTACTCAGTAAATGTTTAGAGTTGTTATGGTTAATATATTCAAAAGAATAAATTATATATTATAGAAGAATAACCAAATAATTAATATAATTTGATGGAGATTCTTTGAAATATCCGATTTTGCAAAGATACAACTTTTAAAACTTTTATGAAACATTCTCGTAACTTTTCGAAGATTCATTTTAATTTTTGTTGAATTCAAAGATCCAGTTGCATGATTAGGAATAGCGTGCTATCGTAATTTTAAGACTATATAAAATAAATCAATTCATGTAAAAAACAGATCGAGTTAAAATTACAAAAAATTATCATTATCCAATTACAAATCAAGCTATAGAACATTGATAACCTATGCAAATATTTAAAAATATCTATTTATTATAATTTTACTTATTGATATTCAAATATGCAATACCTTCTTTATTTTATATTATTTCATTTTATAAAATAATATTAATATCAACCACTACGAAATATAAAAAAAATAAATATATTTTTATCAAAATATAATACCGTAAAAATGTTTTAATTTCGTGTGCTCTAAATTTTTGTAAATAGTTAATTATGATATATAACATCAAAAAAACTAATAACTAACAACATTTATATACTATAACTTAAAATATTAAATGGAATATAGAAACTAATTTAAAATTTTTTTTCGATTTTATCATCTTAAATTTGAATTTTTTATTAAATTTTTTTAATATTATAATAGTTATATTATAATCATAATCCGATGACTTTTAGAACAAAAGTTGAAATACTTTGATGATAATTAAATCTCAAAAAAAAAAAAAATAATAATAATAATAATAATAAAAATAATAAATAAATTAACTAAAAATAAAACATTAATTTTAAAAGGTTAATATGAGATGTGGTGCTTTCGACGTATGCAAAAGATTAACAGAGTAGATAATATAACAAATGATCAAGTACTGTAACAAGTAAATAATAAAAGGAAAATAATACCTACCATAAAACCGAGAAAAATACAATAGCCAGGATATACTTTATGACGTGATAGTCTTATACACTAAATAGGGATTACGAGTATAACAGGGAAAAAAGGAAGAGAAAGACTTAGAACGAATTTTATATTACACACGTAAGAACGTAGAACTGGGCCTAAAATATGTTGATATTAAAAAGAAAATAGAAAACAGAAACGAATAGAGGAGAGTTAAAAGAAGGCAATACCAGTTGGAAGACTGAAAGAACTGAAGAATTAAAGGCTAAAATGAATACATGGTTTGTACAAATACGATTGAGAAAATCATTCAAACAATTTAAGTAAAAATTTTATTTATTTTTTTTATGAAAAATAACTATGATAATTTTATTCTACTTACATGGAACCAGGTGTAACGTTCATGTTCAATCCATTGAATACAGCCGTTTTTCCATAACTCTTATACGCATTAACCACTTGCACATCATAGAGTATTTCTTTTTCAGTCATGTTAGTCTTGTTTTTAAACCTTTTGAATACAATATTAAAAGCACAAAATTAAGATAAATTGTCTAAAATCTATTGTTTAATATTTTTGTAAGATAAAAACCCCAATATAAATGAACAAATCCAAACGATTGTCAACCAGTTCCGTCTGCGAACTATACGAACACAAACAGTGTAGTCACAATCACGGTCAGTCGAAGAGTAAGAAATAAAATAAGGAAAATACAATAAACTTTTAAAAAAAATAGCACCACGTGTATAAAATAAAATTTGTTTGTGAATTTATGTCCTTGAGATTCCAAATGAAATACATGCGTACTTATAAATACGTAGCTTCACGAATAAAATATTCATAATTTCTTATTTTTTTCAGAGTAAATAAAAACAATTTAATTCTTCAGCTACCATCAAAAACATCATTGAATCATAAGTGATATAATGACGTATTATTTTATTGTAATCTATATAGTTATATGGAGCTGAATTAAAAAATGTTTCTATTTCAAAAATTCTCATAAGCTCAAAGCTTCAATAATTGATGCATAAATAAGTGCATACAGCAGTGGACATACAACTATTTCAGATTGAATTAGTTTTCCTGAACAATGACGTATTTAGGAATTTGTCATGGGGAGGGTCCAGAAAATTTACAGAATACAGAGCCGTGGGAGCTTTGCTCCCATCCCTCCCCCAACATTACACTGAAATATAAATTCAATTTATTACAATGAATAAATATAAATCCATTTTTAAATTAATAATTATTATTTTTAATCATATATTATATTATATAATATAATCTATATATTATAAAATCCCATTTTCTAGGACTTAATGCCAATTCATTGATTATTTCTTCAACATCTAAATATGTGTGTCCCGATGAATAGACATCATAGCTAGTCCATTTAGCCTCGTCAACATAATAATAAAATTAAAAATAAAGTACAAATAAATGATATTGTAATATAGTAGATATTAAATTTTTTTCAAAATAATTAAAAGATTACAAGATTACTTTGTTGATTATTGATCTTAGATATGTTTTCAACCTTTTCAAAGTTAAAAAAGATCTCTCGTGTGTTGCTGTTAACACCGGTAATGTGCAAAATAATTTAATAAAAAAATATATACTTGAAAAATCATTCTTTGGGCTGCTCAAAAATGCTTATAATCCACATTTGATGTTTACATCTTGACTGGCTATTTTGAATTTTCATATTTTGATTTCAATATAAGCATTATCAATTTCCACTGGTGGTAAATAAAACTCAACAAAATTCTCAAACGATATTTTTTCTAATGTAAATGTTGAACTAAATATACATTCAAACCCTATAAAAAATATAAAAAACATAATGTTTTATACAGGTTCTTATAATAACCTAGATTAATCAATATACCTATTACCTTTTAAAATGGATTTATGATTTAAAAATCGGGTTGTAAGTCGGTTGATAAAATGTTCAATGAAAGGCATACACTGTCACCTGTATAATAATCTTGTACAGAGGATACTTGAAAATTCGCTCTATTTGTTTTGTTTTTTTGCTGTGCGTTTTTTGGTTATTTCTGAGCGCCAATATTGGCTTGATTCTATTAAAATATTAAAATTAATTACATATTTATACTCAAAATTGAATTACTTCATTACTCAAATCACATATTTTTAGTTTCCCATATAAAATGTGAAATTTTTTTTCTGTACCCTGTTTCACTTCTTTTAAAGTATTAATTAATAATTCAATAGTACCTACTTAAAGAATATTTTTTAAATCTATCCTTTCTTTCTGTTCTTTCTGTTTTTTAAAGTTTTTCTACTAAACAGAATAGGTCAATTTTAAGTACTCTGTTATTTTTCTATGCATAACAATTCTTGATAAAAGTTTTTTCCCGATTACGCAAAAAAATAACATTTTTTGTGGTTACAACTTATATATGCATAGTATATAATAATATACTATACATATTAAACGATTAGATATGTATTTATGAATCCAATGAGGGGTCCGGACCCCATGGACCCCCCCCCCCCCCCCGTAAATACGCCACTACTCCAGAATCAGTAATTATTTCATTCTAGATATGAGCTAACAAATATTTATTTATGCATTTTAAATTGAAACTAATTAATATGGTAACAATGAAAAACTGTAGAACGCTAATATTTTATACTATCACGATCGATACACAATGTCATATGCATTAACAATCTATTAGTTCGGATACACAAAATAAAGATGATAATTTAAAATCATTAAAATACAATTTAAGGTCTTTTAATGACTTTCATAGACCATTAAAATATAGTAAAGTATTAAAACATTAAAATTTCGACCTACTATATTTTTATTGTATGTTAAAAAAAATAATGTTTAAATTAATTTATTCATTATTATGATAAACTATTAAAATTATATAGTATTTATAATGTCTATCAAAGTGCAGAACAGATATTGATGACTCTTCTCTTGGACCTCTGTATATCATTTACTTTGTACTTATCTGCAATTACTAATTACTTATTACCATACTTTAGACCATTATTTAACTCCCGCAAACCACAACCTTTTATCATTAAGTAAGGTAGGAATAATTCCATTAAGTATAATCCACTTTATCGTATGTTAATATCATGCAATAACAATTTTCTTAATTCTGATTTATTTTTATGACTCTAATAATAAATTAAAGCCATGTAATAGTTATTAATGTAAAATATTATAATATATACCTGTTTCTTGTTACTAAAATTTATTATTAATATTAATTAATATTATATAATCATTAAAGTTATTTTTATTATTACCTGTAATTGTTCTTCATTAGGTATTCCGTATAGTTAAAATGTTGACCTACAATTTGGAGTGGAGGATGTGCGATATGAATTTTAACTAGTGGGAATGAAGTTTCAGAGAGATTTAGATTAATATTATTAAATAAGATAAGTTCAAGAGTGTTGGAGACGAGTTTTTTGGTAAATTTATGTTGAAATAATTGCAAAAACATAATTAAAACTGTTCAAGTATTTCAAATCTATTTAGTTTCAAATCAGAAAGGATTGCATGGATATCAGATTTTTCCCAGAGAATATTAGGTAAATTAAAATCCCCAGTAAACATAAAAATGGAATCAGGATGATTGGTAATAAGTTTTAAGATATAAAATTAATTTTTAGAAATACAGTGACTATTATAAATGTTAAAAGAACCATTTGAAGGAAAATAGCAGGAGTGCAATATTATTTTAGTGTCATTCAACAATAACCGAGACCGATAACTATTCGCAACTTATAATATAAGAATGGTGGATTAAAGTGATGAAAATTTGGTATATCTAATTGAATAGAGGATACTAATTTAATTCTTAACCCATGTACATTTTGATAAAAAATAGACAATAATACCCCTTTAACGATGAATTCGTTTTTTTTGTGCTAGATAGGGAGTACCTTTATTATATTTGGTAATCCAGTTGTTTTCTCCATTATCTTTTCTTTTTGATAATTCTAATCTTTGCTGTCGCTTATGATCTCGTTGAGATGTGGTTTTATCTACTGAAATTGAAACTTGACACCAACGTTCGGTCAAACGCAATTTATTTTTAGATTTCAGAATTTCGAAAAAATTTGATGGAGTGTCTAATTCCAATAAAATAGGAGGATTTTTTGAGTTTGAGTTAATTATTTGATCAATAAATAAATTATATTTATTATTATATCATTAATAAATGATAAATCATTTAGTAGATCAATACCAACTTTTGAAGGCATATCAAGATATTCATGATTAGAACCGGATATGTTGAATAAAACATTATTTTCCCTTGAAAGCATATCTTTAACTGCGTTTAAATTATCAAAATCATTCGACTGATTTTGCATCTCGAGAGAACTTTCTAACGTCTTTAAATGTTCGTTAAATAGAATTACGAGTACCTCCAATTCAAGAGCTACTTTATCGGATTTTAATTGACATATTTCAATGTAATATGCATAGAACTAATATTTCTTTCAAGATTAATGAGATTATTATTAATGTTTTAAAAACGAGTATCATCAAACTGTTGATTGAACGAAAACTAATCAATTCCATGTATCAGAAATAGTAGGTTCTTTATTTTAATTTTGACTTAAGTTAAATGTTTTTTTGATTAGAGTATCTTTTTTGATATTTCAGCCACTCATAATGGAAAATTAAAATTACGTATTTATCATGAAACATCGAAATCAAAGTATTTTAAGTTAATTGCTTTCAAATTTTCAAAATTACGTTTTCGTAGACTACCTATTCGACTAATATTTTGAAGACTGTTATCTATATTTTATTGAAAAACGATGTAAATGTATTTCATCCAAGTGGTATTAGCAGTTGTACCATGTCTGTTTAATGATACTGTTAGACAGACCTGTTAATATTTGAGGAAATGTAATCGCTGAATGGGAAAAATTAGCTTGGTGAATATAAAACTTGTTCTTCTACGTCTTCGCTCATCCGTCGTGGCTTATTGTCGTGCGGCTAGTCACCACTAATGGTGTACTAGTGGTGCACTTAACTGAGTTATTCACTGAGTAAGGTGGAAAAGATCGATAATGTTGCACTCATGAGTGGCACATCAGTGAAAAATATTAATATTAAAACTGTTTAATCAAGTATTCGCTGTTCGCACACTCATGCAACTACTAATCGTGCGTACATTAAATAGTGTTATTTATAAATTTTACCGTAAATGTATTGATTGTTGAAAATTTAATATTCGCAAATAGTTTTTTCTTAAAGCATTTTTAGTTATTTCTTGAATAATTGTGATTGAAATTTTGAATTTTGACAATACACAAAAACAAACACAATGGACCACGCTACATTTTATAGTTAAAAATTCATATAACTATCGATTTCTATACGAAAGACTTAAAAATTATGTAAGAATCTTTGTAGCTAAAAAAAATGTATTTGACAGAAATTACAATAACATTATTAATATTAGAAAATTAAATTCTAAATAAAATCGAGTATTTCAATGAGCTCCAATTATATTAGTTATTTAGCTGTTATTCTGCACAATAGATTAATTGTAGTGACTTAAAACATACTGAGAACATATAAATATTTCAATAATATTCCATAGTTTAGAAATATATTTTGGCTATAAAAAAAGCATTTTAAATTTTTGATTTTCTCACATTTTAGATGCCTATTTTTATAATAAAAATTTACCCCATTATATGAGAAAATTTGATTCTATTACTATAACAACTATACTTAGAAGTATAAACTGATCCACTAGAACATTTTTATCCAGAAACATTTTTTCGAGATCAATGGTACATTGGTACATTGGTTAGAAGTTTAAATGATGAATACAGCAATATCATTCACTAGTACGAGTATCTATCACAGAATAAATTAAATCAGAATGGTCACTGATAAGATTTTACACAGAGAACATTAGGGAGTTCTAAAATTATTCGGCCATTGATTTGGAGTCCCAAAAATGTGACCACCTAAAACATAGACTGATAATTTACTTAATTACAACTGCTGTTGTATTGTAGCATTTACATAAAATTATTGAAATTGAATTTTATATTTAAATTCATCATTTAAATTCATTAAATATATGCCAGTTTGCCACTAGTAACATTGTAAAACGGAATAATTTTAATTTATTCTGTGATAGAACTATGCCAATAAAATGTTCATTGAATTTTTATATCCTTTCATAGCACACTTCACTCCTCCCATTGTAAATAAATAAATAACTTTTTTTGATGTACAATAAATACGAGAATTATTTATTTAGAAATTAATAAGGTTTAATACACAATATTTATTGAGTCAATATAATAACTATGGAGCACGTGCACGTCAATGTTTTCAAAACAATTACAGAATAAATGTTATCACTTTTAGTGTGATAAGTAATTAGTGGTACTCCAAAAATATGGTGGCTGAATTTTGTTTACATTTAGAACTGACCATTCTGAATTCATTTATTTTGTGTATCTATAGGCTGTCACCAAACTGAGAAGTTTGTTTTTTTATCGATTTAATGACATTAATATTGTATAAAATTAGAAAGTCCTAAATAAAAATATGTTGCAAATAAATTATTATTATTTTTTTTGACAGAACATAAAGAATGAAACCCGTTTAACACAGTTCTTATAACTGTTATTAAATATGCATATAAATACAATTATAATTACATTAATTTGCATATTTTTAGTGTACTACTTACGGTAAATAATTTACATTAAATAATAACATGTTGGTTAGGTTGGTTATAGATTATTAATAAATTAAAAGTCTTTATTTGTAATTTTTGCTGTCCTCTAACTCTATGAAAAATAACGATACCTTATAATGCTACACAAAGGAATGATCATGGTCTGAATTATTTATTATAAGTATAATACGTTATTGAGTATAAATTATCTAAATATATAATATATATGGGCCAATGTAAAAAAAAAATGTTGTTTCCATTGTTCGAGAAATCATCCATTGGATACCTCGAAAAATTATAGTTGAAATAGGAACGGAGATCTCTTAATGAGGCATAAAATTCCATAAAAAACATACTACGAACGTTACATTTGCCTTATCAGAATATTTTTCAATATTTTGGTTTCACCTACATATTTTGATAGAATAAAGACAGTAGTATTCAAATTGTAGTTTATTCAGATTGATGATTTATTAACAAACAGTTATTCTAAATACAAATAAAATAATATATAAATAAATAAGCAAATAATTTATTTATATAATTAAATAAATAAATACTTAATTTGAAGTATAATAATAATTTAAAAGGACGATTTAAGTCGGCGCGCCGTTATCGTATTATAGTGAATAATACCTATAACATCTGAATTTCATTACTTTTTCGTAATATTATTGAAATGGTGATAATTAAAACGTCAGTTAGTGATCGTCTGCATCTCTCAATCACTTCAGTGGACGCGAACAGAAGTTTTTCCAAATATAAATATTTAATAACAGATAATCGTCGTTTATTTACTTTTGATAACATCAAATACCCTTTAATTTTACAATGCAATGATTTTGATTTTTGAGTAATTTGTAAGCTTAAATAAATTTATAAAATAAATATTTGTAATTCTTTTATTTTATATTTTAAGGACATTTGTTGTCACTTTTTGAGTAATTTGTAAGTTTTGATAAATTTATATAGAAGAGTAAAATATTTTATAAATCGTATTCTTATTAATTTAAAATAAATATTTGCATATTTTTTTAGGTCACTTTTTAATGTTTCTAAGGTCATCAACTTCCAAGCCCTAAATATCATCAACATAAATTATGATTTAGGTATGCTATACATTTGGTTTTTTAGTTGTATCTTGGTTTATTTAAAGGAGGGTTTAAATATCCTTCGATATTTTTTTTTTTTTTAGAGCACTTTCTTTTATTAAAGTTACATGATATAATGTTGACAAAATGATAAAATATTACTTGAAAAATATATTAATGTGTGTTTATAAATCTCTTATATGATTCTGTGACAACTGCACAGAACGAAAGATAATTTTCGTCATTAAAAAGGATAAATACTTGTCAGCGTTATACTATGGGTCAAATAGAACTATTTTTTATTTTATTAAGACTAAACAATAATTATAAAATTTCATTAATTTATAATTGTTCTCTCTAGAAAATACTTTATAGGTTATTAATCAATCGAAAGGAATCAAGTATTAAACGAATTAGCATTAAAAAAAAACATGTCTTTATTTAACACTGTAAAATGACTTAATATATTTTTGCAAAGTTTAATAAATGTATTTGTGAAATACTTATTGATCTGAAATTGGTTTATAAATTAAGTCCAACTTTTGAAATAATAATGCTATATTTTTATTACAATAAAATTTCCGCTTAAAGGTAGTTAACCCTAACCTAACTTTATTTGGTTATCATTGAGTAATTAATCTAAATTCATATAAAACTATAGAAGTATAAATATTACCAATAACTAATTAAAGATTATTTTGTTATTTTCACTGCTTTAATATAATTGGTATTGAATCATAAATTGTAATAATTTTCAACATTTAAAGTTATTTAACAATATTTTAGGAAATTATTAAGTGGGAGCGAAGCTTACTATATGATTTTGTGATTGAACTATGTAATGTTCGTTGAGAAAAAATTATTATTAAGGCACCCCCTTAGAAAACCACAAAAAAATGCCACTCAGATTGCAATATTAAAAGCAATTAAAGAAACGATTATTTCATAGAAATAAATGAATTTATTATAATTTGCTTTATAAAAAATTGATCATACACTTATAAATTATATATATATATATGTATATATAACTGTATAATAGGTATAATATATATATATATTATATTAGGTATTTTTATGTGCCGAATTAACATTTACTTTTCTTTAACTACGATTGTATACTCTATAGAGATTAACATTCACTTTTGTACGACCCACCAATGTTTTTTAAATTTTCCTAAAACAAACAAAAGCAATACCAATACTACAATATAAAAAAGTGTTGTTGAGATCCCCACAATGATCGACGGATGGTCCAGTGACCACCCTTTTATGGATATGTTGGTCATCATGCTTCCTATTAATCCCATAGGAGTTAATCGAGAAACGATTCTCAATAACTCTGATTGTCCTTCTATAGGCCATACTCCTCCTGAAAATAAAATTTTGAAATCAATGCAGACACGAAACTATTAAATATCCAAAGTAACATTTACATTATAATTAGTATTAAAAGAGTTACACATACACAATAAATATAGAAAAATGGTATAATAATATTTTAAATGTACAACAATTCGATTTTAAAAATAATATCATACATCAATACGTTTAGGGAAAAATAAATAATAAAAACCAAAATATTTATATTCCATAACATATATAAATATATATACAGGTATATTATTATTTATATGTAATAAGTAATATATTTCCTCAGTTCTCGATTCAATTCAATAACGTTTCGCTTTTGAATTAACTGGATGTGGTTAGCTGTGTGTGTATAAGACACGGATGGTACTACATAATACGTAAAGTACAGTCGTCGAAATACAAATAAACATTGAGAACGTCTTCGAAATAAAATGTGAATGAACGTCAAATAAATGTAATGTATTAAAATAAACCCATAACATTCGTGTAAAAAATCTTATTTATTATTCCATAAGTATGTTTTACCTGAAAGTAAAAACTGTGACAGCGACAGTCCAGTTATGACGTAAGTACCACCTAGTTTCGTCGTCGATATTACAGCAGTAAGAATACCTGAAATTGAAGCAAACAAACAGTTAAGATTAATATTCCTGATGGTACGTCCATAAAATAAAATAATTTCCTATGAACGTATTTACCCTAAATTAAAAATTAATTATATTAATACTGATTATGATTATTATTATACGTAATGATTATTTTCTTAAAAATAAAAATAATTTTTTATTATCATAGGGGAAAAATATGCGGATGTTCGGTTTTTATTGAACATAAACATTATAGAAACACCCCAAGTAACGATCTGAATATGTGCGTCACAACATTAAAAATATATTAATAAACATCACCAATGTAGATGTTAAAATTTATTTTTAAGCTATTAAAACGTTGCATTGCTTACCAAACAAGAATCCCATCCATCCAGATAGCACCAATACAAATACGTACAGAAACAGTACTGGTGTAATTATTATTGGATTAACAAACAAAACGTATATAATGAAACACATAAGGACAATTTGCACCGAAAGAAACACTGTACTTATACAAAACAACGAAATCAAAAGTTCCATCAGTTTGACACCTTGAAGGAGATGCAGAGTTATTATTGATGTTTTTACCTGTTGGTTGGTTTGTTCTTGTTAATAAATACCTGCGAACATCGATCGGCTAAGAACTCCGTCCATTTTTTCTGATGACATGACGCTTAACCCAAAGACGCTGGGAAAATAAAATCCTCCCCTGTAAAAAAAAATAAGTAATAAACTAAATACCATTGGTAAACACTGACTATAATCAAGTAAAATATTTGAATAAAAAATTGTTTATAATTGATTCATTTACTCGTAAATTATACATCTAATAATAAATAGTCTCATATCTCAAATCTCAAATACTTCTTATATTTATATATCCTTTTCGATACTCGTATTAATATGTTATGAGTACAACTTAATGATTTTAGAAATAACTAAATACTTTTGATGCAGCAACGTAAGTCTAATCAGTAAAAATGTTTTATCATTTTCGTTTTTAGAATAAATTCATCATACGAGGAATTATGAAATATTTTCAGTGAAAAATATGACTTTATACTGTTTTACTATAAAAATCTAACTGTCTACGCACTTATAATTTGATTTTTTACTTTTTTTTGTTCTATTTTTATAGTTAATTTATAGTTATAAAAAACTAGGTATATTGTATTGTTTAATATCACAACAAACTTTCCAGTATATCCTATAATTTGTAAATCATTTAATTTCACCGATAATTTTAGTAATAGTTCTAAAAACTCAATAGAAATATAAAACTGTTTTTTGTTTACACGTTTAAAATATAATATTTACATCTCTATAAATATTGCAACAATTCCATTTCCATATGTCTTAACATCATGTCCAAGAACAGTATGAAATTCCTAGAAAAAAAAAGTAAAAATTATATTAATTAGAAGTGACATAATTATTGAATACACAAATGGACAATATAAACAAACATAGTTTTGTTTAAAAAAAATGTTATAATCACGTAATATTGTTCATATTAATTCTTTTGTATATTTAATTATCATTTTTTTTCTTCAAATCTCTTAGAGATTTTTATTTTGATTAATTTAAATATAAGCTGATGTAATGTGATCATACTCTCACTATGGGACGAGTAAATATTGAACCTGATCTCGGTTGTTACTCGTAATCAGGTTCAATAATTTCACAGCGTGCTATGGCGGTAAGGCATAGCTATGGCAAGGTAATGACTAGAGTGTGCACAGTTTCTCCAAATTTACTCAATGTTACCTTATTACCTCAATGTTACCAATGTTACCTCAATTTACTCAACATTACCTTATTGATATTATTTTAAGGTTAATTGAACACATACATCATTAATAATTAGAGTATGCTTTTTCCTTTTTTTTTTTAAACAATACATGACTATCTCGTTTTATTCGAACTTTAACGGTGAGTTCAAACCTGTTCGCGATAAACATACGCTGCTAGGGGACGTTCGACCCACGCTAAATGTTTCCGTCTCTATAGATAAGTAGTGCGAACCGATAACCGATCTACAATTGAAGTATGTCGGCCAACAATCACTTTGTTTATCCCTGATGCCACTCCAAGGATTCTTAGAGACGTATAGATCTGTGTTCTCTGCCATTTTTATTTTTATTATAATTATTTTTGTTATTTTAATTAAGATTTTATGAGGCTCGCCTTCGATATGCTAATATGATAGATATTGTAGTCACTTCTAACATTAATCCCGGGCGGCGATCCCGATGATTATGAGCACAATGTAACCGATGTGAGGTGAAACATGTAAATATTAAGCTTGGTTGGTATATAAAAGAAAAAAATTATTTCGTAATTATTTTTCTTTTTTGTCCTTATTATATTATATATTTTTATTGGTTTGTTCTCCATTAAAAATAGGAACACTACATGGTTGTTTTTTATGAATATTATGCGTCACACGAGTGCTAATTAACCTATTCATTTATTTTTTAATCTGATCTTGTTTTGATTTGTCTTGCTTTCTCGGGACCAACTTAATAAAATCAATTTTTCTTTTTAATTGCCATTTATTATTTATTATTTGTTTTTTTTCATTGCTTATTATTTTCTTTTCCAGATAAATATATTTACATAAAATCCTACGAGTTCCGGCAAAAATTTTTCGGCCATATGATAGCGAACCTCCATACACGAGTCTGTCACACGGTGTTCAGGAACGCGAAACGAACCGAGACGTCGCAAATATTACACATATTTCATATGTATGAATAAAATTCGTTAAAATATATTTATTTTCTGACAACTTTCTATTTCGACCAGTGTATCGAAATTTTGTACCACACACTCAGTATTAAAATGATTGCTTGAACTTGTTTGCCAACAATATTTATACAAATTAGCTCCATTCTTGTTATTTTCTGATATCTTTTGGAAGCAGAAGTAAGGATCACTTTTTAATTTTTTAATGATCTCTTAATCATTGTTACCACTCACGACAAGTGTCCATCCAAAAACGAAATTTTAATTACATCAATCTCTGTGAGCGTTAATCGGAGTATAAAAAATAATTTGTAATCCGTAAAAATATATTTATTAGGGAGATATCATTAAAATATGTAATTAGCCGAATATAATTATTATATTATACAAAAAAAAAAATTAAAAAAAATATTTCAACAATTTACTTACTATAGGTAAATGCATTGTTTTTGGATTTATGTTACACTTAGTTAAAGTTAGGTTTATTAAATGAGTAAACGATTTAAAAACATCCGCCCTAATTTGATTTTTATACAAAAAATCTGAAATCATATATTATAACAGTCTTTAAGAAAAATTAATAACATTACCGTTCAATGACCGAATTTTATACTTACTTTCATTAGTTAAATGAATATAAGTATTGGACTCTACTTCATCGTATTTTTGGTCAATGTATTTAATCAAATCTTTTGTATAATTTTTCTGAAAATGTATAAATGCCATATTTCCTGCATTATTCATAGTCATTTCACCAGCTTCTCGATCTTTTACTTCGATCTAAAAAATACGTATGAAAATATTTTGACTACATTTATAATCCCATTTTGCAATAAACTACCATTCCATATAGTACATTATATGCATCTCAATTTTTTAAAATAGTAAAAGCAATCTTTAAGCAGTTTGAACAAAGTACTTACTAATTTGTAATTGAGTGATGCAAAGTAGTCCAGTACAACACAGCTTAATGTTTCATTGGAATCCTCGTCAAAAATACATCCTTTAGTACTATAATTTTGGCAGAATTCATAATTAACCTCTTCGTTTTTAAATGTAATTGGCATATTTTTGAATTCGCCCCCAATTGCAAGACAAAAATTAAAAGATTGTAGTACAGGAAGGATAATTAGGGAAAATAATAACCTATACAATAAAATTCCATTATAAACATTATGCATAGTTCTTTATGTCCTTTTTTTTTTTTTTTTTGCTAATATTTGACATAATGCAAATCATAATTAGACTCACGCGTAATCTCTAGAGGATACTAGGGCATTTTTTTTGAACAATGCTTTTATTCTTTGAAAATCAATATTATTTTCTAATTGCGCTAATTTTTTCGTTTGTGGTACATCTTTCACAGGGACATATTTAGTGGTATCATTCTAGGAAAAAAATATAAATAAAAATAAAATAATTACAACTATAAATTGATAGATAAGTATATGCATATAAAGATCATTCACAATTTTTTTTTTTATTTTCTTTAAACTCGCAGCCATTGTTGGATGCCGGACGATTTTTAAAAAATGATTCTATTGACTGATAACTGAGAATTGTGATACCGTAGTTTTTTTTTTTTATATAGCTTTTTGTTTATGTGAATCACGATGACTGGGTCGGAAAGGTTTTGGCATTTTTTTAACATTGGACCAATCATCCCGCAAAGAAACCGAAACAGCCAGTGATCAAGATCAAACCATCACCTATGCGTTTAGATACAGCTGTCTTATCCAGCATGGTCATCAAGCTTCCCCCCCCCCCCCCCCACTAATAATTAGTAATTATTATTCTTCAAAAACAATTGTAAATACGCAAGTATAATATTTATACATGTATGAGGATATGATAAAAACAATAGAGTTCAGTTTTATACACATAGTGTTGGTTAATGTAAGTACGTAAGAGATACTTGTACATTATTGACAGTTGAAAGGGTTATGGAAAGTGTATGGAATTTAAGCGATACGACTTTCCGTAAAATCAATACTAATGCTGCTATCGATAATAATTTTATGTTTCAAGTGTAAAAAATGTATTTTTTTTTTAAATTTGAACCTCTACTAAGAGTGAAAACAAAATTAGTTAAAATATAAATATTTTTTTCATAATAAAAAAAAACCATTGAAATTCCACATAAATAATATAAAATTATAAGCATATAAATTTTAAGCCAAAATACTTTATTTTTATCTTGATTGTTGCATAGTATTAAAAAAGCAGATTCCAATGATTGTGTATTAGATTTGATGAGAATATCTTGAGGCGATCCTTCTTCTATAATTACTCCGCTTCTCATCAGGCCAACCTACAATAATAATTACAATAAACCCCATTCACGCACATTTATTTTTATCTTTGAATACATTATTATTGTTTAAATATATGGAAAACGATATACAAGCATTATATTTGTAGAAAGGAAAAATAACATTTCTCGTCATTTATGTAAAAAAATTTGACAGATTTTTTTTTAATATTCTTAATTTAACTATTTATAGACAAACTTACACGGTTAGCCTGACTAGCTTCTTCTATATAGTGAGTAGTTATTATAACGGTTTTTTGATGTTGAACAACCATCTTTGTAAACTCAATCCAAATTCTATAGGATATTTTAATTAATTTTTTATTCACTTGTATTTAATTAAACAATTTACTTTTGTCTCAGTACAGGATCAATTCCAACTGTTGGTTCATCCAATATAATCAATTTTGGATCGTGCAGTAACGAAATAGCAAGTGATACTCTTCTACTCTCCCCACCACTATAATAAATAAAATAACAAAACAAAATTTGATTAATTTAAAAATTATTCGATAAGTACAAATTGATATGTTATCATGTGTGTGGGAATAACCTGTACCTATAATTTGCAAAATTATAACTGTTTTTTATTATCTATTATAAAAGTCAAAATTGTTTTATAGAAATGATGTAACACGAAATCAATTGTCATGTTATATTTTTTTTTTATATTTTTAAGGATTTTAATTTAATTTGTTTTACCTTATATATATCCATTATTATATAATATACTATATTTATGGTTATTGTTTAGTTATTTCTAGAGTAAAATGAGATACACACGTTTAAATATAAATCGTGATTTTTTTTCAATCAATTGTTTATTTTGAAATAAATATGATATTGAACACAATAACACTTGCATACACGATACATTTATTATAGAAAGTATGAAACTCTTAGGCAAGTAAAAAAAAGAAAAAATAATAGAATCTTAATTTCTTCAACGTAGTTTAGGAATTTTTTTTTATACAACTATTCAAAAATAATTAAACAATTTTTAACTACATTTTAATTAGAAATAATTTCTTGTAGTTACTATATATATATATATATATATATATATATATAGTATGTATATATTATATATATATATTAATAATCGAGTAACCGACGGTATGCTACAATTTAATCATACACTTCTACGAGTATTGAAGAATGTTGTACAATCTTATTATAACCGTACGTAAGGATCAATGAAACAATTTAATACGCTATATGTATCCAAAGGAGACTCAAACGAATGTAACCCAGAGAATTTCTAATTAATGACCTAGTTGGTTAGCATTATAATAACTAAATAACTAAATTTAATCTAATTAATTAAAAATTAAAAAAAAAAATTCTCCCGCAAAAGTACTATCATTGGATGGCCTCTTCAATTCATGTATTTCATGCTAATAGTATTAGTATTAGTTAGATATAAGTAAGAACTTGTAAATACTTATATTTATAATTACTAATTCTTGTTGCTACCTTTATTTCACTTATGCTTATTGTACCATATGCGTACAGATTGTATAATTATCTTATAACAAAAAAAAAAAAAAAATTAAAAAAAATATGTACCCAAACATTTCAAATTTTCAATTTTCTAGCAATACAATAATAATATGATTTTTGTACCTTAAATTTTTAATCTGACAATCCATGCTTGGTAATTGCAGAAATGATTGAAGTTCATATTTTTTGCTTTCAATATTTTTCTTTTTCATTCTATACAAAGTTCCATAGTATTCAAACGTTTCATATATTGTCAACAATTCTTCCAAACATAAATCCTTCAAATTTTGGATATTGTTAAAAATACAGCAGTATTATACATATAAATTAAACATTTACTTGTGGCATGTATCCAATGTTTTTCGAATTTGCTGTTTTTAAGTCAATAGTACCAGAATCCAATGTCATTTTTCCTAATATACACTGAAGTAGTGTCGATTTTCCACAACCACTCGGACCTAAGAGACCATATCTAAAATAACGAAAAGCAACATTCATTATTAGTATTTCATTTAATTTTATGAAACATTTTATGGCTAAAAATCATTATAATAATATTATTGGTTTCCCCCGTATTACTATTACTAATGATTGAAATCATATAACTAGTTCAATAACATCGATACGGATTAAAACTATAAAAATGTATTTTGATGTTTATAGAAACTGAAAACTTTTTAGTGTTATTCGCTGAAATTATGGTTAAACTTAACCGGATGATTATTTTTATTTGTTATTTTAAACAATCTAATTTTAAGTAATTAAACAATAATACACTATTAATAGCAATAGCGTACAGATAGTAAAGTGATACTTATAGTATTAAAATTACTATTATGATAATGAGATATAATATATTAGCATAAGATATAGAAAGTGGAAACAGTTACTACGATGCTTCGATAAAGTATAATGCGTGTGCGTTTTATACCAGGACCCAGGGTTGAAATAACTTGAAATCTAATATTTTGAATCACGTTTAAAACCATGTGACCTTTGTAAATCGCAACTCTACATCCCCATTTGCGGTGTTTAGCGTTAAAGTCTCTTGCAGCAATAAACGTGCGGTCAAGGGATGATGAATAGTTCGATTTGTTGTGAAGCGATTGCCGGTCAAGGAGAACAATACAATGCGGATATTGTCGTTGGAATATGATTAAATGTGATTTAAACGTTTGTTACTTGCATTGTTGGAAGTGTTAGGCTTTGAAGGGGAAAGTGTTGAATCTGAGATAAAACAATAATAGCAGAACTATCGTGGTCGTTTCGTCGAGATGATTCATTGTATAAGATTAAGAGTTAAAGAGGATAACTAAATATAATTTTCGTAGTATGTGATATTTTTTTATTAAAGAAGAATATTATTTTTTTTTTTTTTTTTTAAAACAGGAAAAAAAACTCAACACTAATTGTTTGTTACCGGTTATTTATTAGAATTTAGCCTAACAACTAAAAATAAAATGATTTTCACGGATTTGTTTCGCGTGTAAATGCATAACCCAAAGATTTGTATACGACACCAGTTACGTATTATTTGGGTTAATTGGTAAGTACTATTCCACAATAAGAAAATAAAAACCCGATTGCGGAAAAACAAAACTACGTATTTAATGAGTAAACTGAAAAGAAAAATATTGATTCATTACTATGACTATTAGTATTTATTGAGTTAACACTAAGCCCCTTGTAGTCGGATTCCGTCTACAAGTTCAACAACAAGGCTACAACTCATTTGCGCACATGTATATTGGCTACCTGTGACGAAAATCCCTAGTGTTAGAACTCGTTTGCTTATTATCGTTGATAATATACTCTTTGTGACTATGATAGTTGGTTACTTTTATTATTTTGTTTGATTTACTCGTATTAACAATAAAACTCACAGGACATTTTTTATAAGTGCATCTAAAATTTGAACATCCACTCATTAAAACATGGTATTCACTAAATTTATAATTATCAATATTAAAACACCGTTTTCCTTACCAAGATTCAAAAATATTAGAAATTTCTACGTCCATATTAATTATTACGTCAATATTAAAGTTTACGTCGTCAACACACTAGTCACCACTGTATCGTCCATATCCATAGTCCATACCTACTGAAACTTTACTAAAAGTTGTTTGGAAAATTCAAATTTATATAATCTACAGTCTACACAGTCGATTATAAGATAATATTAAGTCGATGAAAATTTAAACGCCAATGACATCGGAACTGCATCTATTTTACCTTCAAGCTACATCGGCAGTCCACGGAGCATGCAGGAATACATACAAGATGCGATGACTTATGTACGTCATTACGGTCGACCTGATTTGTTTGTTACATTTACGTGTAATCCAAATTGGGAAGAAATAAAAAGTTTGTTATTACCAGGCCAACAATCAATACATCGTCACGATATCGTTACACGTGTGTTTAAACAAAAGTTAAAATCATTAATTAATTTAATCGTAAAATATTCAGTCTTTGGTAACACACGTTGCTAGCTGTATTCTATTGAGTGGCAAAAGCGAGGTTTGCCTCATTCTCATATTTTGGTTTGGCTTGAAGATAAAATCCGTCCAGAAGAAATTGACCAAATAATTTCTGCCAAAATTCCGGATCCACTAACTGACTCAGAATTGTTCGATATTGTTACCAGTCACATGATCCACATGATCTCACGTGTAGGAAAACCATCAAATCTCTTCGTGTTAGCGAAAGACAGGTTAACCAGGAATGTTGTACACAAAGTAGTACTTAGATAATTTTTAGTTTTAATAATTTAATTTATTTTTGTATGTTTTTAATGTATATAGTATTTTTTGTAAGTAGGTCACTGATTACAAACAATAATTTAATATAAGATGAATAAAATGTAAATTCAGAAAATATATATTTTGGTTTGTACTTAATTTCAACTTTTACCTTTTATACTATTTCATACTTTACCTATTACTTTTAAATTTTCTCATACATAATAACACTAATACATGGCCTACGAAAATGCTAAAAAACCAACTAATACGCGGGCAACGCCGTGTCGGGACAGCTAGTATTTGATAATTTGTACTGCAGTCTGTGACGATTTATGTATACACGTGTTATGTGTGTGAATGTGTCGTGTACAAACGAGTTATTATCTATTTTCAGGTAAACGATTGATTTCGTCGTGCGCAAAGGAGTCGTCGATTTTCAGGTAAAAAATTTTGAATGTGCGCAAACGAGTTACAGCGCAACAACAATGATACTGGGCGGGCGACATTCTGTTAACACGTGTGACGACGGAAATTCTTCTTTGGCCATCAAACGTTTTAATTGTTTACGACCGGTTTAGGCTGGTCGTAAAAAATGCACACAAATAAGCGGCGGCGGCGGCGGCGAGCGCGTTAGAGTACCATATGATAGAAATATAAACGCGACGATATGGCAACGGGTGGAGTAACCGGACCATGCGTGTTTGCAAGGGGAGGGGGCAAAGAGGCCATTCACCCTACAGGACATTTTTTTTTCAAAAATATTGTTAGTTTAATACCAGACATATTAATTATAACATAATTTTATTGAGATCCATTTATGAAGTTTAGTAAAATTTATTATATTTTTAGATAATCTAAAATGTATAATCTTGAACGTATTTATTAGTTTACAACGTATACGCATGATTGCATATCGCTTTAAACTATAAATTCTCCCTAGTACCGATTTCTATGGTATTTGATTTTGTTCTCATCTATTTTCAGATACACGTTGTTTTGGCCCTTAGAATTTTAATCTTGCCTCGGGTGGGATTTTATCTTGTGGGCGTGCTCGAACCGGACGAATTCGATGGGCGTGTGCGTTCCGAACCGCACACGTGAATCGATATGCAAATCGTAACCCACGTCAACGCGTTGATCTAGACTTCGAAAAAAACCTTTCGGGCGCGCAGGTCACGGTACATCACGGCGGTCAGCGATATTTGACCGTGGCGGTAAGACAGCGAAATCGTGTTACGTAACATCGCATTATCACCGTCACGCGCATGCCGGTCGAATTAATGGTATTTTCGGACCGCTACGGCACGCGACGCAATCGTGCAAAAATACAAAACAACGCGCCGGCAAAAAAAATTGAACAATCGATAGAAAATGCGACGAGATTCACTGTTTTATGCCATGGAAATCTAGAAATGTTTAGTTTCAGCATGATAAACGTTAGTACAACGTCATTAGTTTACTAAGCCGTGCGATCACTCGAAACACTCCGGTGCCGTGCAAAAATATTGATAAAAAAAAAAAAAAAAAAAAACGATTTTCATGGTCGAAGTATTTTTCACGCTGTGTGTCGGCGGTTACAGTCGTACGCGTATGAGCGCGTAGCGATTTTTCCGATTACATTGAGCAATTAAATTATAAACAATACGAATAACATAAAATTCTATTATGCATGAGTATGTAGTGCAGTACATGAATTTAAATGAGCTTCATTGGTTAAGATTTGGAAAAATACGTTCGCAAGAATTTTATCGTTCTCGGTGAGTATTTTGTTTATCATATCTCAATACGGTCGAAGGTCCCCCAAATTAATTAGCTCTTGGCCCCGCAAAACTTTGGAACGGCCCTGCACAACACCGAATGGATCTAATAACCTAACAGTTAACTATTTTTTTTTTTTTAATTTACGCACATAAATTGTAACTCGTCCCCCACAACGTGTGCTGCTGTGTCTGACCAACACCGAATGAAGAACGACAACGGTGTCGGCCGAGCTCACACGATTTCGGGTAGTCCGCCCACCGCGATACGACGTTGCAGCACACGCGAAAACGATCAACGGACACGGCGTTACGTGAACGGGTACGTCCCCTTGTCGACGAACAAACCAGTCGGACACGTGCCGACGGACGCCGTACCGTTCCGAAGCACCGTGTGTTCCCACCAGTACTATTTGTGCGTATGGTCACTATGTTTTTTGTGCGACAATCGCACATTTTCTAGGTTAACTCCGGCCAGTTCGATTAATAATTCTAGGTTCATCGTGTACAAACGAAAAGTTTTTCGGGTATGAATTTGTTACGTTAAATCCGTTTGCCAAACGGACCGTACACTCCATAATTCCTATCGCTTCAAATTCTCATCACTTAGTTACGCATCTCGAAAACCGACTCATCTGGGCTGACCGTATCAAAATTAAAACACTATTACTCAGCCAAAGACGCAGATCCTCTAATATCTTGCTCGATCAAATATAAAAATAAATTAAAGCTGTACAAAATGCCCAATAGTTGTTGTTCATTGATTATTAATACCCATTTGGTATTTCGGAATTTAAATTTGGGAAACAGCCATCAAACTTATAAAATATTCAAGCGTTCCAGTCAACATCACTCCGCCTAATAATGGGTGTGCCTTGTTACGTCACATTTCAAATTCCAATTTTCATATCAATACCATATCCCCCCCAAAACTGCATCCACCTTATAAAAGTAATTCCGATCCCGTTTAGTTAACCATTCAACGCTCTATTATCGGAAAACTCAATGAAAATGTTATTTCCGGAAACCCTCTTAGATGGTTAGTAATTAACCATGTGAACCAGTGAACTGTTCACCAATGGTTTAGAGACCTCATAAATGAAAATTAACTTTTAATATTAACTAATCAAGTAAAAAAGTATCACCGCTGGGTGACTTATTTTATCGGTTAATTCATACGCATCAAAAATTATTTCCGCTCAAATGCTTATGGTAAAAAAAAAATTACATATCATGTGTTCCTGATAAATGAATATAAAAAAAAAAATGGATAAATATCTATTGTTCGTACTCATCAAACAGAAATTTTCAGACCGAATCAGATATGAGCAAAACATGAATGCCGGACGAGCCTGTCGATTTGCTACGTGTATGAACGGAACGGTAACGTTTAAGTATGAATCATTATATACGAACAAGTGTTAAGATGTTTTCGTAATGGTACGGTACGGTGTCTGTCAGTACCAATAGGCGTGCGCGCGGGGGCGCCAGATGTGCTCGGGGATGCCCTAAAACGTTGTAAACAGGGCTCTGCATTTTAAGTCTAAGAGTAAGGGTTTCGTGTTTGAACTGATGTCGCTCATACTGAATTCGATTTATCGTAAAACATTTGGTAAAAAATAAATGAAGTTTCGTTCTAAATGTTCGCGAAAAACATCATTGCGATCAACGAAACGGCTACAGGTGACTACAAAAGTACAAACCATACGTTTAACCGAAGCTATCCGAGAAAGGCACACGTGATTCAAGGAGAACATATTCTTCGGAACCGATGTACCGCAACATTAAGAAAAAAAAAATTTTATGCCACGTTTATTCGATTATGTTTGCACGTTATAATTTATCGAACCCACACGTTTTGTTGCGATAAGATGCAAATGTGTTTTGAGGCGCCCACCGAGATACAGGGCTTCGCACGCCTATGGTCGGTACGCGTCTCGCTGCGGTTGCGATCGAACTTCATGACGCACATCACTTCGGTCGTCAAAATGCAACGCCGACGGCCGTGCGCAAAGCGCGACGACGCCTTCCGGCGATGAAAGGACGACGAACACCTGACACGGATACCGCAACCCGTCGCACATCCTTTTGCCCTGGTATCGACGATTGAAAGAACCACTTCATAAGCGGTACGAATGTGTCACGAAGGCTCGGCGAGCCATTCACTGCGAGCGATCGGCCGCCCGGTCCGCTTTCAGCTGCCGTTCCATCATTCTAATCTCAATGCGTAATATATTGTTACGAGTCGTGTTCTTTTTTTTTTTTTTTCATTTGTTCTTCTTGCCAACGTTGTTACAATAATATTGTTATTTTCGTTCGGACTTTGTATTTATTTCGTTTTATATATCACTCTTTCATATCGATATCGTACCGAACAATTAACATCAGTAAGTCGATACTGTGCATGCCTGTGCTTCGCGACACATTTCGTTGCAATCGGTGATGCGATACAGCGTGGACCGCGGGTAAAGCAATTAATTGACAACAATAATGTCTCCGCACAAAACATTAAAGCGTTATTAAAAAGAATAAACTCGAGATCACGTTTAGTATCCAAAGTTGTTATATGATAAAAAGCCCTCTAAATATTAGTACATATCACAAATATTAAGTATGTTTATGAGAAAAAATGAACCTTCTACCACAAAGATTCGAAGGAATAAAAAAATCACTTTAAAATTAATAAAATATTATCAGTCACATTTTTCAAAATATAATTTATAAATTATGCTTTAGAAAAACAAAAGTTGCTTTACTGCATTATTACTTACATTGAACCTGATGTAACTTTCATATTTAAACCATTAAATACATTCTTTTCTCCATAATTCTTGTACGCATTTTTTACTTGGACTTCGTATTGGATGTCTTCGTTAATCATTTTATAATAGTTTTGTCACTACTCACTAAATATTTCTATAAATGTTTATATATCAAACTATACACTGCAACGAATTACTTATCAACTATCTGATTGTATGAGTCAACATTTTTTTTTATGAAAAAATCAAATCACAGGTTAATATTTAAGCACTTACAGGTCAGTTTACACCGTCCACGGGCAACGAAAAAATAAGCAATAATCCAGAAACGTTACTGGCATAGTACCAATAGCTAACTAAGTAAACGTGATTATAGTTGATACATCATATGGTGAGGGAAAATAATCTGAAGTGAAGTTTATGAGCATGGGTAACATTTTAGAGCCATAATAACCTTCGGTGTCTTATCAAATTGCAATGCTTTTGTTTTAACTACATTCTAATCGTAAAAACGGAAAAAAATCTGAAAACAATTAAAATTAAATAAATACTTTTCAATATTGTATGTATGATTACGATAATGACAAAAAAAATTTACTTTTATGTTCTAACAATCACAACGAGAAAAATGGAATATAAAAGTTGAAAAAACTAAAAATTTCAAGTGCCTGCAAAAAAACAAATATTCATGAAATATTTCGAAGCTATGAAATGTTAATAAACACTTATACATATATACCTTAGCAAACTGTCACTGCAGTTAATATTTATTATTTAATTTTATAGAATAACAGCCAAATAAGTTAATTTACATAATAACTAATAATAATAATTACATAATAATACATAATTCCTTAAAATATTAAATTTTGGAAATGCTTTTAAAAAATGTATACAATCATAGAGTCATTTTTATTTTTTAGCTATAAAGAACCAGTTTCTAGGCATAACCTTTTGGAATTTTGGTATTTATTTCTTCGAGATACCGAATTAAATATAAAAAGACTTATAGTTACGTAACATCATGACTGAAAAAATCATAATTTTTATTTCCAGTCAGAATGAATAAAAATAAATTTTTGTTTCAGCAGTCACATAAAATGTTGAAATATTACGTTTTATAATTATATAATAAGATCAAAAAAGTTATGTGGAGCTGCATTAAAAAAATATTTTCAAAATTTCAATAATTAATGGACAAACAAGTGCATAGAATAAACGTTTCATAGGAATGTTCAGTACTGAGTGAGTATTGAAGTATAAGCACATAAAGTGTATGCATTGTATATGAATGTATTGAATTGATAAAGTTCCTTCCTGAATTTAATTTCTAAACAATCGGGTTATCTTCAAATAGTTCATCAATGTTAAACATCGATTATTCGCAGAAAATTGAATTCAACAATGTTGGATTAAACGTATTCAGTAAAATATTTCGAACTTGTTTACCATTTCGTAAAAAATGCAACGCATTTATGCATAAACAATTCCTATAATGTATAATAATTATATACTGTTATGAGTTTGAATAAAATATTTATGGTAAATGAAAATGTAAAACCGGTTTTAATGGAAAAATATGATAACCTTTATAGATAATTATCAACTGAAAAATCAAATAAATGTTTCTTTTTCCTATTCGTTCAACTATGCTTTAAAATTAGTGACTATAACAAGACCTTATTAATTACTCATACACTATAACATATATCTGAATTTATGAAATAGCAGTAAGTATTCGAGGTATAACTTTGGAGAACCGAATTGCCATTTTTGCACAACAATGAAAACCAGAAGTCAAAACGAAATTTTATTTCGATTTAATGATACCTAATAATGGTCGTTACCGATAATAACATCATACGAATTGGACCTCTCTATCCCATCACTATCCTATAATTTATTGAAATTATATGTGATAGCAATACGAACACATTTGTCTGTAGTCTGTACGCCGTGCACCCGTGACGATGATTCTCGACGACGTTAGGTATACGTATACAGCGATCATCAGATGACAATAAATATTAATGATTTTTACTATTTAAATAATATCTAACCTTTGTTTCCTTTTTGAGTGTTGAATCATATAATATATTATTGTATTTGTGTGCTGTGTAACATACCTTCATTTATAAGTATATTCATAGTTTAAGTATTTATGTATATATATATTTAAATATGAATCAAAAAGTTCCTAGTGGTACGGCTAAAAAAAAAAAAATAAAAACTTTATCTAAAACAACATATTTTGGAAATAAATTCAGAAATTAAGAATTATTTTGAATGCAATCAACATTTTAATGGAAATTTTGTTCCCTCAAAAATTTTTAAAAAAAATTTTTAATCATAACTGATTGGAATGAAGGACTAAGATGATTAAAAAAAAAAATGAAAAACTGCTTTAATCATCTAAAAAATGCATTACAAATTTCATTTATTACAGTTTAAAAACGATATAAAAATATTCGATGGTTCTTTTTTATATAAGTTCGTAAATTATTCAAATCTGTTTTAACCAGGTTACGTTTATAACTTTTCAAAAAAGCTATAACACTGATATCTCGATAAATCGACGTGAGATATGAAGTTTTTTTTTTTTTATATAACTACAACTCAAAAATGTGTTCTAATTCATTTTTATCAATATGTATTATGAAAAAAATTTTTTTAGTGTGATGCATAAACACATTAACAAATTTAGTTTATTTTCAATCCTAACTACTAATAAATATTAGAACTTTATCAACGTTTACAAACTGCATTCTAGATTTTACTTAAATGGACCTTTTACTAATGTATTAATTATGTATGCATGTTTAATTAAATAGTTCATAAGAATAATTATGACTATATTATAAATTGTTAAAATTATATAGTTATCATAGGCGAATCTATATGTTGTTCCGAGTATTTCAAAAAGGGACTGGGATCTTACGAATTAAATAATAATAAATAAACAATAATTTTTATAATAAAGTTGTACTTTTGATGTATTAGAACGACCCATAATAATGCATAATAGGAAATAGCTAGACAAAGTGTTGACGTTAATAAGTCATAACACTAACAACGACGGAAACGTGTTAACCGTTCAGGCATCAGAATCTCTCAGTAAATCAAATACTGATAGCCACAATCATAACATATCTAATTATTTATAAACAATAAATAATAATCATAATATAATAAATAATATCATATTATTATATATAATAATAATATTTATATTTTTAGAATTTCTCGTTATTGTTGTTACTAGATGGCCTTTAGGTATATATTACGCAGTAAATAAAATTATTTATTTATGTTGCAATTGCTGTTATAGAACTATTAATTGTTACACAGAAAATGTATTACTCAACACCTGAATTATTTAGTTTAGACTTGAATAATTATTTGTGAATAATAACAATTATAATAATAATATATCTACGTAATTATTTAGTTCTTATAATTTACTACCTAATGACATATATATATATTAAAGTAATGCAATTATAAAAACACCGAAATTAACTGTAAAAAATCGTTAAAAATTTCCAGTTTTAAACATTAACTTAAATTAGGACTTTAGTGAGGTTTCTGTTTTAAAAATTGATTTTGGTAAGGTTCCGGTTCCCAATATCAAAAATGTTCTAGTTTCAAAACAGATTCTTTTCGGTATGGTTTCAGCGGTGAAAGATATAAGCGTCAAAATGAGATAAGAAAAAATAAAGTCGTACCGTACAAAAGCTCCAAAATGAGATAAGAAAAAAAAGTTTTATTGTATAAAAACGCCAAAATCCTAGATACGCAAAGTGTGTAATAAATGTAGTACAAATGTATAAAAGTACAAATATGTGAAAAAAGTGGGATTAAAAAAATCAACCAATTTAATAAATTTATATTTATTTGCATATATAATATGTATGATAATTTATTATTAATATTCTTTTATAAAACCGCAATTTTCAAATAACTACTTACATAAAATATGAATTTTGGCACGAATTATATGTCATTTTTAAACCTTTGGCGCTGATGTCACATGATAAGTATAACAGGTATACAATATTAGATTGGCGCTTACACACTACACATTTTGGCGCAAATGATAGGTAATATTTGAACCTTTGGCGCTTATGTCATATAGCCGGTTTCAGTCCTTGATTTCAACACATAACCTGAAATCTGAGTGAGTAAATCATAGTACTCATTTCAAATTTTTAATTAAAATACTTATTTTTGGCTAACATAATTTAAATACAACAAACTTAAAAAAAGTAGCGGCACGTTTATAATAAAATTAATTTAGGTATTGGTTTTTTTGAGATATCGAATAAAATATATAAGTACTTATAACTATTTAACAACACAATAAGAAGTTCATAATTTCTTGCTTCCAATCAGAATAAATAAAAACCATTTATTTCTTCAGCAATCACTACAAAACAGTTATATCTCACGTAATACTAGAACGTATTATTTTTTCATAATCCATATAGTAATATGGAGCTAAATTAGAAAAGGCATTACAAAAAATAAATAATAATAATAAAAAACATATTTTTTTAATAGATTAAAATTAATGAGGTAATTTATCTATGAAAAATAATTTAAAATTATTATTTTAAATTTTTATTACTACTAAATAATGTAAATCAGGAATTATATACTCCTAAGATAGTGTTTAGTAATGAGATTGGAATTATTTCCATGAGCAAGTTTAAGCTATATTATTGGTTTCCATACTTTTCTATTGGTATTGAAGAGGAAATATGAATAATCTGTTACTGGAGAAAATATCATAAAAATAATCTATTATACTGGTATTTTTTTTTTCTTAATGCGCTACTCAGGTAAATAAATTTGAGTCAATAGTATACATTTTTTATAAACATTTTTGTAAATTAATATTATTTATTAACAAATCTACTTATACTAACTAAAAACCCCCTGTTAAATATTTAACCGATTTAATTTTTTTCTTTCATTTTACTATGCCTTAATATTAGTAACGATACTACGGTCTTGTTAAATGCTCATGAATAATATAATAATTATATTTAGGAAATTAGTGAATAGCAGGAAGTATTCGAGGTAAAACGTTCGCAAACCGAGTCATAATTAATGCAAAAAAAATAAAAGGAAGGCTAAAAGCTTGTACACATTCTTAATACGTTTTTTTTTTTTAATGACCTATAAAATTATAAAAAAACATAAAAATTAATTAAATATTTTTTTCCTACAATGCGGTAAAAATAAATATTTACAACTAAGATGTATTACATGATTATTTGTTATATAATTTGGTCGAAACGCGTGTATCTAATAGAAATATAAAAAAAAAAAAAAAAACGGCAACAGCATATGTATTTAGTGCTA